AATTATTTGACCACCTCTTGTTCTGGGATTTCCTTTATTTATATTTCGCAATACATATTCTAATGCTAGATTAAATAGCGTTGTTGATAAGGCATCTCCTTGTTTCATCCCTTTATTTATACTGAATTCCTCGGTCTCTCCTGTTTGTGTCTTTATGCTTATTTTTGTAGTTCTCATTGTCATTTCTATTAGTTTTCTGAGTTTATGTGGAATTTTTAATTTTTTAAGTGCTGTCAATAATACGTTCCTTTTAATTGAATCAAATGCCTGTTTGAAGTCTATGAATAACATTTCCAATTCTAATCTATACTCGTTTGCTTTTTCCATTATTTGTTTTATTGTGTGTATTGCATCTATTGTAGATCTTTCTTCTGTGAATACACAATTTATTGACATTCCACTTTTTATGTTGGTTTTTTTGTTTTGTTTCAATTTTAACTTTTTGTCTTAAAATGGCTGTGACCATGTAGTGGTCTGAATCTGCACACGCACCTCTGAACGTTCTTACATCTTTTATTGACGATTGTTTTCGTTTATTAATCATTATGTGATCAATTTGACTATATGTTTTCTGATCCGGTGACCTCCATGTTACCTTATGTATTTTAGGGTGTTCAAATTTTGTCGAGCTTATTAACAAATTTGTTCTTGTTGCTAGGTTACATAGTCTTTGCCCATTGTCATTCGTGTTTTCGTGTATTGTATGCTTTCCTGCAACAGGGGCGGACTTGATGGATCAAAATATAGGAAGGTACAGGATTGGTATTAGATCCAAAAACGGTGGTGGCTATTATTTACATGGTTACTAGAGGAATTATTGGAAAACGCTTGGCATATTTATAAAAAGACCGGCAATTTTATAAAATAAATCGATTTTCGCAGAGATATAGCCACTTCATGTCGAATTCAGTATGGTACAGAAGCTAAAGGTGCAGGTCGACTAAAACCCCTTAATTCCCAGCAGTCTCGGTATTCGAACCAGCGACACCGTCAGATTTGACAGAAAAGATTACATTATGATATATATTCCAAACAAGAAAAGATGACGATGCGCATTTTAAAATTGCACTTATGTTATTAGAACTATGTGTAGAAAGTGTGATTTGTGGTTGTGCATTGATTGTTATGAGCAGTTTCATACAAGCTAATTCTCTATACTCCCGTATTTTGCTCCTTGTATGTCCTAGAGTGACATATATGTAACATGTAAAAATAAGCTCAGAAACTTGACTAGAGGACTCATACGAACAACAAAGTAGCATAAAATATATCATTTTTTTAAAATATAATAATTCAGGATATTAAGGGTTAATTGACATTCATTCACTAGGGGATAATTTAAATCAATTATTCGATTTTATTAACAATTATCCAAATTTTTCTAAACGAGGAAGTTTTCGTCCCTAAGAAATAACAAGCAAGCAATGGTGCAAATCTAAAAGTGAAGTACACGGTACGTAGAACCCAAATAAAATTTTCATGCAATTTAGTGGTGACGCAGAAAATTACAGGGTATCGTTGTATTTCACGTTCATTTACTGGCTTAATTTAAAATATTAATGACTTAATTTTATTACATGTGAATGTTATCTATAATATTACACTACTTACCCAAGCTGTCCTTTGATGTATGGATGAAATACTCTAAACGCAGCTGTTGCAAACTCATTAAGAATATTTGGACTACAATACGGATCGTAATCGTCAACATATAAATAATAAAAGGTTTCAAATAGCAAATTATTGTCATACATGTTGGATCTGCCCAAAACTACGGGCAAAACTTCGTTAAATATAATCCATTGAAACACACCAATATTAATTTTTCTGGCCTCTTGCCAAATTGTTTCATTAGTCCATTTTGGATTTATAATTTTTAGACTTGTAGCTAGATAATTGTGAAATCTGAACCAGATAATGTGCTCTATGGTCAAATCAGGATTCTGATTCATTCTTAGATCACCTAAAAATAACAGTAATTTTTAACTAACTATCTAAAAAGAATTGTGTAAAATACTTAAAAAATATTATTTTATATATATTTTCTTCTTCTAAAAGTGCCTATCTTCTAGTAATGTTGGCTACCACATTGACCCATCTTATTTTATTCACATATCAGTCTATTTCCTAAGATTGGCCAGCCAAGATATAGGTCAGCGCCCAGGACCTCTTGCCCTCAATTTTGCCTTAAAGAATCAATTCAGTCAGTATTTATGTCAGTATATTTAACAGTGTTAATAGTTTCTTTGTCTTTTCTTAGCCTCTGAAAAATACTTATGTTATTTGTGCGGTGTAAATAAGAAGCCCTTAATATACGTGGGTGGCACCACATTTGAAATACCTCTAACAATTTTATGAAATCTTTTGTAAGACTCCAGTGTTCTACTATGTAGAGGAGAATACTAGAGTCATAACATCTAAGAAATCTTATGCGTAAATTGATACTTAAAAATAAGTTGCAGAAAATTTTTCTAAAACAATTAAAAGACTTTCTGGCTTTTTAAATACTAGTTTTTATTTTGCAGCTATGATCCTTAATGATGCAGTCTAGATAGCATATTTTTCCACCCTTTTACTCGTATCGACTATCGTCATTTGGGCGTTAATGTTAATGTTTTTACTAATGCCATCATTCTTTGAAGCTACTGCGCACTGTCTGTCTGTATTTACTGCAATACCATCTTCTAATGTATTTAAGGCTTCTCTAAAGATGTTTTCAGGGGGAGCATAATCCATTGTAGATCTCTTTTTATCAGCACCTGTCTCGTTAAGGGTAACTGTTCTTGAAAGGTATTGGATACACAGCCAGTGACCATAATGTGTAACTATGAAAAGTATGTATTAAACAGAGTACCGGAACCAGATATACGGTAACTAAAACAGTCATTTAGATGGTTAAATCTTTGAATCTAGTTGCTTTTACAGTAGCTCTTACGGAGACAAAATCGCGGCTGGAGAGACGCTAAAAATAAGACCCAGAAAATCCGGAATTCGCCGAAAACACGACAAGAACCAATGCTGACCGATACATTGGTAAAATGACCAAATTAGTTCTCTATGTACATAGTGACAAAAACTAGAAGAGCCTCTTAACGCGGCTGGAGACAACAAAACTCTGCAAATCTAGTAACAGAGTACAAGAACGCCCGCAGAAGACTAAAAAAGGCAATCAAAGACAGCAAAAGGTAATGCTGGATAAAACTTATCAATGAGGTGGAAAATGATGTATGGGGCAGGTCATATAAGGTGGTCTTGATCTACCTTGAAAAGCAATGCAACGCCTTCAGCTTCTATAGAAGATCGTTACTAGGCTGTTCCCTCAACAAAAGTTTTATCATCCAACCGAGTAGTGCGAGGCTGAAGAAATCCCGCCGATCGCGGAAAATCAACTGATGATGGCATATAATACAGTAGAAAATAATAAAGCTCCGGGCTTAGATCGAATCCCAAACATCGCTTTAAAAGCAGGCTTCAAAGAATATCCGGCAATGTTCCTGGAGGTTTAAAATACATTCCTTAATTCTTCCTCCTAAAGGGAAAAAACCATCAGAGGAATTATCATCTTACCATCTACGCTGTATTGCATACAGCTGGCAAAAGATATTCGAACTGATAATCCATCAAATAATCGTAGCAGCAGTTAAACCGCTGCTCAACAGTAATCAGTATGGTTTTCAAAAAACACTGAACACTCGATGCGATTGATTTTGTTGTTAAAACAGCTAAGGAAACGATCTCAGGGACTAGATTTTAACAATGATTTTATTTCCGCCAACTGAATTGCAACATACGATCTTTAGCCGAAATGAGAGTACTAGCATACCTAAAAAGGATAGTGACTAGCTTCTTCACCAGCGAATCACTTAACTTCACAAAGGAATATAAAATCACTGAAGGAGTATTACAGTTACCTCCACTAGGTCCTATTTTGTAAAATATTATGTATGATGGGTTTATAAAACTAGAATTAACAAGAGATGCTAGGCTTGTGGTATACGCCGATGACGTGGCTCTTGTGATCATGCAAAGCACCTTAAGAAAATATTTATCACGTTTACGTAGATAAACACAGTTAATTTAAAAAAATTGTTTAAAATCTTTTATAAAAGGTATATAAAAAATGCCCCAAACGGGCTATCACAAACACATTGCAAAACGTTTTCGGATTGATAAATCCATCATCAGTGCAAACGGTTGTACATGCTAGTAGCCACCAAAATATATGGGTCAAAACCATTTAAATGTTTTAAATTTGTAGTTGTTTTACATTAATAATAGTTATAATTTGTGATGTTTAAGTGACTGTTGGATAGGTAGCATGGCGGCGTATGACTCTACATAAGTAAAATGGTCCTTAGACGAAGTGTCTACGAGGACTGTTGATAACAACTCGTAGTTGTTATGAACTACGAGATCAAGGAGGGAGTTGTTATCAACAGGTCCTTGTAGACACTTCGTCTCAGGACCATTTTACTTATGTAGAGTCATACGCCGTCATGTTACCTATCCAACGGTAACTTAAACATCACAAATTATAACTATTAATAATGTAAAACAACTACAAATTTAAAACATTTAAAGGGTTTTGACCCATATATTTTGGTGGCTACTAGCATGTATAACCGTTTGCACTGATGATGGATTTATCAATCCGAAAACGTTTTGGAATGTGTTTGTGATAGCCCGTTTGAAGCATTTTTTATATACCTTTTATAAAGGATTTTAAACAATTTTTTGTGATATATGGTATACAGCCAGCTACAGGAACTTAGTTTCCTAGTGGAAAGTTAATTTAAAACTTCTTCTTCTTCTTTCAGTGCCTATTCGTTCCGAATATTGGCAATCATTCTGGCTATAATTATTTTATTGACTGATGCCTTAAATAGATTCGTTGTTGTTGTGGAAAACCATTTCCTCAGGTTCTTCAACCATGATATTCTCCTTCTCCCAATTCCTCGCTTTCCGAATACTTTACCCTGTAGGATTACCTTCAGTAATCTGTATTTAGTGCTGTTTCTCATTATATGTCCGAGATATTCCAACTTTCTCCTTTTAATGGTATACATCACCTCTCTTTCTTTGCCCACTCTTCGTAATACGGTCTCGTTGGTTATCTTGTCTGTCCATGATATCCTTAGAATTCGCCTGTATAGCCACATCTCGAAGGCTTCAAGTTTTTTCTCCATTGCTTCAGTTTGTGTCCAGGATTCAACTCCGTAATACAATAAATTTAAAACTAGCAAAGCACAAAACGGAGGCAGTGCTTATTACTAGTCGTGAACAGGTGGAATCCGTAACACTGAGCGTTGAAGAACATGAAATCACATCAAAACCATTCCTTCAAATTTACTGAATAATACTGAATGTTGGTGGTCGAAAACAAACTATGAGAAAGTTATTGTTTTCAGAAGTCACGTTAGTATTAACAAACGGAATATCGATTTAGGCTAACACCCTCAGAACCCAGGAATCACGAAGAAAGGACAAATCAGTAATTCTTTTGAGCGCTTTGAGAATTACCAGTGTATTCCGCACAATATCGGGACGTTACCCATTGGATGACTAGCTAAAGAAAGGAAGTCTCTTTATTGAAAAGGGAGTCAATGCAAACGCATTGTTTTATAGCACAGCTGAATGTTTGGCTAAACCGCAAACATGACGAGGTTAACTATTGTCTGACGCAGATACTCCATGATATGGCTGTTTTGGAACCTGACGATTCTCCAGAGTGCCCATCCTGCCAGGGGGTCCGCAAAAATGCGAAACACGTGTTCTTCGTGTGTCCTAGTTTTTCATCTTCCTGTACAATACTCTAAAAATAGTTATTAAAAATAAAATTCGACCAGAGACAATGGTAGAAGAAATGCCTTCATCAAAGGTAACTTGGGACGCAATCAGCACATTTGCGATGGAAGTCCTTCAGAATCTTCATTGCATATAAAGGAGACGAACACAAAATTAGGGATCCTTAAAAGAAGAGAAGCAATTATTTAAATAACATGAAGGAAGAGCAATAGCTAGATCCTCCCCCCTTGAAGTAATATCTTACGGTAGTACCATGGAAGAAACAAAGAAGAAAGAAGAATGAGATGGGTTTTAGTCAGTATTGTATTGTAAAATACGAAGTATATGAACTGCCTGATATTATGATATACCAGGGAGTCCATCCTGATGATAGGTAAAAGTATTTACTACCCCAGAAAAAGAGAACAAAAAAAAACACATACAGACCCCATGTGTAAAATCTATCTACATACATCCCAATTGCTTTAAACAATTTCACAGTATTTAAAATATTTTTGTTCCGAGAAATCCCATTGTTTTTTATACGCAACATTTTATTGCACTCTTAGAGGGTGCTAAGAATCCCCAGGTTGACACAAAAATTTATATTTAACCATTATAAAACGATTGGTATATAACATGTATGAAGTTTATTCCAAGCCGACAAAGTGAATAACCGTAATTAAAGAAATTGAAGAGATAAGAGAGAAAGCGTTAATTGTAAAACAACTGCAAATTTGGCTAATACAATTCCAGTAACTGTCAAATTTTTTTAATTGCGTGCAATAACTCCTGGCATGTGGTATGAATTAAGGAAGGCTCGGAGAAGAACAATATGTCAATTTAAACAAATCCTATATTTATAATAGTAGGTTGCTCAAGATTACTGAAATTAACACATATTTAACTTACCTCCTATAAAACAGGTCGTTTCCGTGCTGTAAGGGCAAAAGCTGTTGGTCGGATCATTGGGCGGAAAAGGTGTTCCCTTATATGATTCGAATGCTAATAAATAACTGTTAGGTACTCTTAAAGAGTTACTTTCTTCTATACTATTTCCATACACAATGTTTAAATCGAGGTAAGCTGTTGATCTTGTTATCTGTAATATTACTCTTATTAATAAATGAGGTCTAAATAAATTGATGAACTTGCACTTCTTGAAGCAGCTTTAAGCTAAATGCGTGTTTAAAAAAGTTGTTTTAGTGCCCACGTTAAGATTTATATTTATACTAGGTCTGTATATATGAGGTCTAAGTAGTACGTTTGGAGGCTCTTGGTTATTTTTTTTATTTATCGTATGCCACTTGACACATTTACATTTAAATTTACACATAATTTGTATAAAACATAATACATATATGTTTACAAACGGACATCTAACTTATTTATATATTTTATCGACTCTGGCGTCTCCATTAGGAAATCCTCTGACCTGCCTTGTAGGATCTTGTGGGACACTGTTCTGTGATGTGACAGATGGTTTGTGGTTGTCCGCAGTCACAGAGTGGGATGGTCGTTTACCCCATTTGTGCATCATATAACCGCATCTGCCATGTTTGGTTCTGATTCGATTCAACATAGTCCATGTGTTGCGTGGTAAGTCAAAACCTGGTGGTTTGAGTGTGATGCAGGGTAAGCTGCTTTTTTGTTGTTTCATCCATTCTCGAGTCCAAGTGGTCGTTAAGTTGAACTCATTTTTCACTGAAATCTGTGCTGTTGTCTTGGCGGTCGCCTGGAGCGCAAACGATTACCGTTGGCAGCATTTATATCTTGATGAATTGTCAGGGTCTCGTTGCTAAGTATCTTTTGGTACTCACTAGTGAGGGAGTGTATACGCCGTAGTCTGGGCGGTGAAATGTGGCTCAGGACTGGAAGCCATTGCGTAGGGGTGGATTTGATAACACCAGCAATCATTCTCATTGTGTTATTCAATTGGGCATCTACTTTGTATGTATGTGGGCTGTTAAGCCAGGCTGAGGAGCAGTATTCCGCAATTGAAAAAACAAGGCCCAGGGCAGATGATCGCAAGGTGGAAGCCGATGTTCCCCATGTTGTGCCGCACAGCTTCTGGATGATGTTTCTGGATTTAAGTTTTTGCGCTGTTTTTGACAGATGTTCCTTGAAAGATAGAGTTCTATCAAGACACACCCTAAGGTACTTTGGTGTTTTATTGGAGGCCAGTGTGGTGTTTTAGAATTGGACGTTCAGTGTTCTCCCTGCAAGCTTGTTAGTTAGGTGAAAACTGGAAACCTCTGTTTTGGTAGCGGTTGGTTGGGGCCTCCATTTACGGAAATACTTTCCCACTGTGTGTAAGTCTGCCGTAAGGATTTCTTCTGTTTGTTCAATTGACTTACACCTTGTTGCAAGGACCCAGTCATCGGCGTAACCAAACTTCCTTGATCTGGTTTCTGGTATATCAGCGATGTACAGGCTAAAGAGAAGAAGAGCTAGGACAGATATCTGAGGCAGTCCATTCTTCAGTTTTCTTGGGGTGCTGATGTCGGTTCCTATGACTACTTGAATCGTTTGGTCGGATAGCATGCTGTTGATTATTCGAGTGGTGGATTTACAGGAGATTATACGGAGGAGCTTGTATATCATGCCTTCTCTCCAGACTGTATCGTAGGCCACTATTAGGTCTATGAATGCGGCTGCAGTTTTAAGTTTTCTCTGCAACCCTGCCTCAATAAATGTGGTAAGTGAAAGAACCTGATCTGAGTAGCTTCTTTTCGGTCTGAAACCTGCTTGATCAACCGGTATCGATTCAAGTAGCTTTGGACTAATAATTCTGTTATAGATAAGTCGTTCTAGTAGCTTGAACGTTACCGATAGTATGGCTATTGGTCTGTAGTTCTTAGGATTTTCATCATTTGGTTTCCCTGGTTTTAATATGGCAATGATCTTCGAGTGTTAAGTTCCTGTGGAATGGTACCGGTCTTCATAATATCTGTGAAATCGTGGGCCAAAAAGTAGGCTCTTGGTATATTTTTATTTAGTAGTTTTTATATTTTTTTTTATTTTTTTTACTGTGAACATTCTAATAAGGATGTTTTGCTGCAGGTTAACTTTTGCCAAGTCCTTTACCAGCTTCCCAAATTCTTGATATAAATTACACCTAGCAGCTTTTCTTCAAGAAGAATGTTATGTTTGGTAAAAGATAGGACAAATTACAAATCTACAACAGTCGAAAATGATATAGGATAATTATTATTCTTCCTCACATTATTTTTAATTAAGACCACAACAACTCTATTGTATTTAGTACAGTGCTATAATAGTACTTGATTAGTAGTATGTAATATTTATAAGCTTCTCAGTGAATGTTATTGTGGGCTGCTTGTATTTTCTTTTTATATGAATTGCTCATATATCCCCATAAGAGAGATGAGAAAATATGACGGTAAGTCTTTAACGGTTGATGATAACAAGTTAAAAGCCTTTGATAGATGGCGCTATTTGATACCAAATTGGTTTCGGTGCTGACATTTGTCATTCATTACATGACGTGTGTCAAAATTTTAAATTTTAAAAACAATTAGTTTGGTTTTTACAGCCATCAAAAGCAAGCAAATTTTGTGTTTTCGGAGAAATGGAAAAAGTCGATTATCATTCAATAATTAAGTTCCTCCACAAAAAAGGTAAACCGAATGTGCTAATCAAAGAAGTAACAATAAAATTTTGGAAAGCTGAATTTCTTCGTGGTCGTACGAGTCGTGTTTCGATGATCGGGAGGCCATATGAAGTCACCACGCTGGAAATGATCAACAAAGTCCATGACATCATTTGGACATGAAAAAGCTATCCGCGCGATGGGTGCCGCCGTTTGCAGACAATTGTTCAAATGCAAAAACGTGTGACCACTTCGGAGACGCTTTTGGCAATGATACGGCGCGATGCGAAGGATTTTTTTGCCGATTTATTACCGTTGATGAAACCTGGGTGCATTATTATACACTGGAAACCAAAGAACAGTCGAAACAGTGGCGCAAACGCGGCGAAGGGCCGCCGAAGAAAAAGAAGAGTGCACATTCGGCCGGCAAAGTGATAGCGACTGTTTTCTGGCATGCGAAGGGCTTCATCCACATCGATTACTTAAAAAAAGGAAAACCAATCAATGGTTTTTTTTTAATAAATAGATTGTGGTTATCCCCATCGAGACGTTTAAACCATTATTTAAAGTCATAAAATAATTTTTCTTTAATTAAACATAAACTTTAAAAGCATTTTCAAACAATAATTGAGAATTGAGAAAGATTGATTGTCCATATTATTGGTGAGCAACGACTTAAAGAAGAGACGGTACTGGGAAGGAATAATGCCTTTATCACACAGCTTTTCTTAATCCTTATATTTTTCTTTTTTTATTGGTCTTGATCCTTCATATGCCGTTGTTAAGTTTGGCATGGAAATTTTCCTAGTTTCTTTTCGAGTAAGCTCAAAAGACACGAAATTTTTATTTTCCTTATTATATTAAAAAAATATATGTATATTATTATCTTTTCTGTACTGCAACCATGTTAATTTTATTCAATTTATGCTATTACCATCGATGTTTACTTTTTTGTTTATTATTAGAATTGTGGCAAAAGCTTTGAAGTCATAAATTTCTTCCTATCTAATCTCGTGTACAGTGTATTTTGATTTCTTTGACGCCATTCTTACAATGGTGTAACACCTAGTGGGGTCAAATATGTCCACATTTTTTTATGCTTTCTTAATATGACCATGGACCAAGGCACACTCTATCATAAAATGGCCAGGTTCAAAAAAGCAATGGTCAAATTTTGGAATATCTAATGTCTGAACAGCGTAAAGCAACGTAATAGATACATTTGTTGCGGTTTTGGTCACCACATGTGTCACTTATTAAAACAAACTCTTTACCATCGCAATTGTCTTGTAAATATTTATAGAGACAAGAGGACCCTTCATTCAAACCTCTGCCAACCACTCCTTCATGCCACATATAATTAGTAGCGTTTCTGGTCCTGACATCGTAAACAGTAAGATTATACACGGCCAGTTGTCTTTTGTAAAATATTACTTTAGAATTTGTGAAAGGGCAGTACCTTACAGCCTCTAGATCAAATTGATTGAAATTTATTTTTTTTTCCAAAGCATTTGCCTTAGCTTTTTCGTGAAATTCCCTAGCAGCTTTTTTCGTGTTGATATGTTGTTCGTAATTCTTATGCAATTCTTTCTTTTTATCTTCAATTGCATTTTGATATCTAAAACAGGTATCACACATGTCTTTTCTTGGTACTTGAAATTTTAAATGAAAGTCATTGTGAAAAATTTGTCTATACAACCACGATTTTTTGGGCACTATTTTCTTCCTGTTACATTTTTTCTTCTTGTAGTTAATCAGTTCCTGTAACTATACCACTCTTTTAGGTTTCTCAGCCAGGAAATTATTCGTCTTCGTTACATTTATAAACATACAAATCATACATTTTTTGTACATCGAGGTCCTGTAGCAGATATTCATAGGTTGAAGATTTTTTACAATAATGTGAAGGGACTGTAGGAAAATATCTAATATGGCTTCTGATAAATTCTTTAGCATCTTTAGGTCTTGCGACTCCAGGAGGATAACGACCTAAAGAATGTAGTTACGAAAACTCCTTATTGAGGTTTTAAGTACACGGAGAGATACAATTTTGTGTCACTCAATAAAACTCACTAAAGTAAGTTCAATGGTGTAGATATCTCAAAACAGGAAAAAATGTAGTTACATTTTTGTGTCACTAAGCCGACGCCTCGTATGTATGTTATGAGAAAAATATAATTTTTTAATTAAACACACTTGTAACATGTTTAATAATATCTGGGTAGTGCTGATATATCCTTTTCTTCTTTATATATAGACATGACTCTATATGCTTTTCAATTCGGTAAGTTGTCATTCCATCCTTTTCGTGGTCTTCCTACTGATCGTCTTTCTATTAGGGAACCTTCTCTTGCCGTCTTTACTACTCTATTTGTTGTCATTCGCCTTATATGATCGTTTTATTCTTCTCTTCTATTTCTTACCCAGTTCTTGATGTTTTCCACCTTGCATCTACGTCGTATATCTGTACTTATAGCTCTGTCCCATAA